ATATATATATATATATATATACCACATTGCATGCGCCACTGCAACCTCCTTCCCCCTTCTTGAAATGTTCCTTCTCAATGTCTTCTGCCGTTTCCCCCTTGATGTCTCTCTCTCTCTCTCTCTGTGTGTGTGTGTGTGTGTCTGTGTGTGCATGTGCCGATGCGCGTTCCATGTGGGGACCTTTGTTTGGATTTCCCGTTTCGCCCGTCTCCTGCTCAAGTCCGCTGTCCAGTTTCGCACCCGCGCCGCCGTCGTCATCACTCACCCCCCTCCCTGCGTCACTCCACCTGACGGCCACCGCACGAACGCGGGGGCGCGGATTGCGAGTCAATACCAACAGCGAGAGGGGTGAGGCACGCAGAGGAGGAGGATGTCACCCACACATCACCAAAACGGCTTCAGCCACTCCCCGCAACAACACCCCTCACTACGACGACAACCACAGCAACGAGACGGACAGAACCCCAGACGAAAATGAAGCAAACAACAACAACCACCACAACCACAACAGGCGACACCCAACCAATCAGCTAAACAACACCACTCTCATTCTTACCGGAAGACTTAATGCTGCTGTTAATGCTCTTCCGATCACTTGTCATTGATCTTGTTGCTATTGCGGTATCAGGGATACAAGTTAGCGAGCTCATCTGTAAAGGCGCGGAGCTTTTGGTTACCCTCATTGTCTGCCCGCCACTTTCGCAACTCATCTTCTGTGAAGAAGCCGGCCTGCACCATCGCCGCGACAAAGTCAGGGAGTATGTTGCGCATAAAGGAGCCCAGTCGTACCGAACCAATCGCCTCCATAATGTCACCCACTGTCACCTTCTCATCCTCATCATTCTTCTTCTGCTGCCTCTCCTGCTTCGCTGCGATGAGGAGGTCCAAGATGTGGATGAAGTCCTCCTCCCACTCATCGGCACAGTCATACACAGATTGAAGCGCACCGAGGTAGTTGGCAGTGCGTGCCATGATGTCCTTTACCACGCTGAGGAAGTTAAGTTCTGAAACCCTCATCACGGCGTCCACGAAGCGGGTGTAGATGCGCGGGCAGTCGGACACGTCACGCTCCGCGATAGCATTTGTGAGACACCACGCAAAGCCCCGACCGAGTATGCTGCGCTCGAGCCCACCCGTTGTTAGCGCCGTGAGGAAGAGCGACCGCTCGCTCTCCTTCGGGTCCATGATGGCACGCTGCAAAATCACGTAGACGCTGGACATGAAGCCCTGGTTACCACTGTCACTGGGGCCCAGCACATCAGCCAGCTGCTCCTTCGCCCAGCCGCGGCACGGCGTGCCTTCTTCCACTGCGTCGCGGGCGATGCGGAGAATTTTGCGGCGCACCTCTTCCGTCAGCGCCTCCGGCGGCCGTGCGAGCACCACAAGTTTCCTCTCGTCTACCGAAAGTTGCTCCTCAGCTGGCGTAGTGGAGGCGGGTGGCGGTGGCGGTGGTGGTGGTGGTGGCGGCGGCATGGCGTAGCTGCTGTAGCCTGCAAGATCCGTATAGCTCGTGGCCCGACGCGCACCAATCCCGTATGAACTGGAAAGATCCTGGTAACTTATCGCGCGTTTCCCCATTGGGGGTGGAAGCTGGTCATTGTTACGCTGGTGATGTTGGTGATGGTGATGATGGTGCTGCTGTTGCGATTGCTGTTGGTGATGTTGGTGGTGGTGATGGTACTGCTGCTGCTGCTGTTGCTGCTGCTGCTGGTGATGATGATGCTGCTGCTGTTGTTGTTGCTGTTGCTGTACGTCCTCCACAACCACCTGCTCTGGTTCCCGTGGCTTCCACCCGCCGTTTCGCCGGTCGATGAGGTTCTGTAGCAGAAACCGTATACGGTTGGAGAAGCGTCTGTCATCCTGCAATGTCGCAAGCATCTTCCACAGGCGACCTTGTGCTGATGGATTCTTCTCCTCGTACATTTTCCCTACAACCTCCAGCAGATTCACAACGACCTCAAGGTCCATGTCGTTGGGCACGTTGTTATCAAGCTTCTCACTCAGAATACGATCGATAATCTTCTGTGTGATGAGAGACTTGAGGAAAAGCTCTCCGGCGAACTTAATGTTATTGACGTTACGCTTCCGCAGCTTCTCCGCCTCCTCCTCAGAGGATGTCTCCTGAACCGCCTTTGTGGCGCCGTCGAACATCTGCTGGCACTTCTCCACTATCGCCACGCGCACCTCACTCTTCTGCGCGTCGACCTCGCCATCCGCCATGCTGCAGTAGTCGTACTCGTAGCGCACAATCGCGTAGCAGAGCCGCGCGTAGAGGCCGGCGAAGACCGGCTCGACGAGTGCCTTGTCGTAGATAAGGCGCACAACATCTGCCACGACGGTTGCGTTGAGGATAATTTCCGGCGCAAGAATTGTCTTCACGATCACATCGAAGTTCGACTCTGTCAGCTTGTTGAGAGTGCTCTGCACCATGCGCACACCGCGCTCCGACGCGTCGATGGCGTCGCGGTCCTTCACCTTGAAGCCGTTGTCTGTCATGACGAGTTTCTCCTGGACCACTGGTTTGTTCTTCGCCACGCGTGCCGCCTGAAGGATGTGGCCAAGGGAGAAGTCCTCCGTCAGGCGCTCCTTCCACGTGTCGCGATATGCGAGAACGTCGGGGATATTCATGATGCGGGAGTTCCCAGCATACTTTGGGTCATTGCTCGTCACGCCACGGGGCTTGAAGAGCATACGTGCGCTTTCCTACCTTCCTACCTGCTTGTTTGTTCGTGGGTGGTGGTAAGAGACATGTGTGCGTGTGTGTATGAAAGGAAGCCGCAGGTGTGGCGGGAGCGGGAGGAGGTTGAGGACACAGCACGCGTACGTCACAAGATATAATAATACAAAACAACAACAACAACACACTTACACACACACACACACACACACACGAAATAATCAAAACAACTTCTCACGTTTCATTCTCTCACAGAGTCACAACAACGGCGGCACCATCATTTGTATCAAACAACACAAGGTGCTGGGGTTGCTCTGCCAGTAAGAAGTCATCTCATCTATGCATGCATATTACAGCATCAGTCCATCACAGACGCGGCAGTGTGGTCCTTCCGCGTAGTCATACATGCCACAGGATTGGCACCGACTCACAACATCGTCCTCAGCGAAAAAAGACAGAGGCGTGAAAGTGCTGCCGGAAAACACAGTGAAGTGCAGGCCATCAGAGCAGTCCTGTTTGTCCCGCCTCTGCTCGCTAGCCATCTTAGAGGAAAGCGACATGGTTAGGAGTGTCTGCTCCTCTTTGCCGCACACTGAGCATGGGAACCGTGGCGGACAGTTTTCCTGTTGCTGTTGCTGTGGCTGCTTTCGGTGCTGCAGTGCCCATTGCTTAGCGGCAGATTCCACGAACTTGCGTAGTTGCTCGCCAAACTCCTCTGTGAGGGCCCACGTGCGGTCGTCAGGGCACCGTGCACGGTTGTTGTTGTTGTTCCACGTGCAATTTAACGACCAGGTGCCGCTGCCCGAAGGAGGAAGGAGGAAATGCATTTGCGCACATCTGCCGNTGCCACAGCAGATTATATGTGGGACTCGGTGGTGGAGAAACCCACCCATACCCACTAAAAACCTCCTGATCATAGAGATCTTTCAACCCACGGGCGTGGGCGACACCAGTAGCACGGCGTCCCAGGGAGCGGTCTCCGGTTAGGCCCTCCGCTTGATCCCTGGAGAGCAGGTCGCGTTGTATCCCGACCATGGCGCGGCTCCAGGAAAAACTATAGCGTATGGCATTGGATTCCCCAGTCCGATAGACCAGGTAATCGACCGTGAAACTTATCGTTTGGTAGCGTGTGTTTCCCTGCAGTCTCTCCGTTCAGGTACTTTACCCATTACAAAACGCGCCTTATTTGTAAGGTACTTAACTCCGCTATCCGAATAAGTAGCGACCGTATCACGGTGCAGCCCGAACTAAGCCGGATTCGGTGCTGCAATTGTGGAAATTTAGCTTCCTAAGTAATGAATTTAGTACTAGACCTTGGCGCCACGATGAGGCATTTCCACAATACCAAGGAATTGGCCTTGTAAAATAACATATCCTCGAACGCCGCCATTGTCAGTGCGGTGTAGTAGCCAGCCTCTGTAATGGGAGACATCAACTCGTCCCTCGCGTTGCGCCGCTTCCAGTGGGACTTCGAGGTGCCTGGTCCACCCTCGTTGTCAAGCTCCATTCCTGGGGCGCTTTCGCAGTTGTAGTGCTTCCGTGTCATCTCCTTCGTTTTGGTGGAGCTCACAACCTTCACATTAAACTTCCAGCGCTTATTTGATTCACTGGTCACCATACCGCGTTTCATCATCTCGTCGTAGCCGAAGCCCAGAGCATGTGCAATCTCGTGGGCGATAATGCGAACAGTCAAACGCCTCGTAGGCGCGTTTCGGGGGTCGATGTTCATGACACCTACAAACGGACGCTTGCTTTCGAGCACGGCACAGGTGAGGGCCCACGCGGCTGCACCGTCGGTTGGCCCTGCAGCAGCGTACATGATCATGTCAGCGCCAGAAACACCACTGGTGCTGTGTCCGTTGGGGATGGTGAAGAAGGAGCACGTCCGTTCCTTAAACGGCTTCACAGTAACGCTGCCCACAACCGGCTCCACAGAGAGGCGATCAGTGTGGAGTTTAACCGCTGCGGGAATTGTGTGTTCCACAAGAGCCTTTCTCTTCATTTCCGTCAGAACATCCTCCGCCTGGCAGGGCACCTGATGCCCACGGAAGTTCGGACGCATCTCTCCGGCCTTTGTGCAATATCTTAATGAGTCTTCCATATCCTCCGTAAACACCTTGATACGAATCGGCGCCCATTTCTTCTCCACAGAGAGCGTGTACGCTTGCCAAGCACCCTGGTCCTTTTGAGGCACCTCTCGAACAACCGCAAACGGCACTGCGCCACTCTTCCCCCGCACCTCGTCGAACGCGCAGCGATGCGAATCGGCGGCAAGGCACCCGCTGGCGTGCCAGAGCAGCAGGACAGTGTACAGCACGCAGCGCATCATCCCGCGATTATTATGGCTAGCTTGTTACCTTCGCTTCTTGGATTCCAGTGACGCAGCAGAGAGGGACGCATATAGAAATAAGCAAGACAAAAAGACTACAGTGGAAAGGGACACATGGTGCTTGCCTGCGCGTGTAAACCACACACAGCTTCGCACAAGACAACGGCGCACCCCACCAACCACGAAGCTACACGCGCAGCAGCACACCGCTCCGCAACACATCATACACCGAGCCAAGATACTGCAAGTCACAGCAAGACACTGGCACTCGCAGAGACCGGCAGGCAACGCCAACTCTGCGCCGCAGAAGTTCATATTCCCACTTCAAATGTGACTCGCTATGCTTTGCGCATGCACAGCTCTCTCTTTCCGTGGCTCTCCGCGGAAAGAAGCGTGTGGGAAGAGAACGGAAAAATAACAACAACAGCAAAAGGGCAACAAGCAGGAAAAAAGGCGTGACAGCTTGGCACGCACAGGCATCAGACACNGTGTCAGAAGAGGTGTCAAGAGCATTCGGTTCAGCATCACGCCCCCGCCAGTCACAGCAGCCAGGGAAGGAAGAGGAAAAAGCAAAAGAAAGAGGGGATGGGGAGGAAGAGGGGGCCGTGGCACGCGGAAAGGGAAGGCAGCGCCGCGGCGAAGCACCCGCTGGCACACCAGAGCGGCAGGGCAACAAGCAGGAAAAAAGGCGTGACAGCTTGGCACGCACAGGCATCAGACACCTGCGGACGATCTCGTTCGTGGAGGGGTGGGGCAGCTTCAGACTGGGAGGGACCACGGCGTTGCGCCAGTGTCCCTCCGGGTGTTGTGTTTCATCCGTGTCGGGCATAAGACGGCTCTTACCTTGGAGTCATCATCCGTCGTGGCTGTGTGGCGTGGTCCCGTCAGAACGCAACAATGGTGTCGATCAAAGAGTGAAGTCAGAGGTATCGGAGTGATTGCGACAGTTCCGCATCACATGGGACGAGAGCACAGCCACCAGGGAAATTGAGGGAGTGGGAGGGGCCTCAGGCGTTGGCAGTGGAGCCATGTGTCGTCACGGGGTCGTTTCCGACAAGAGTGAAACATAACGGGCATCATCGCAGCGCGGGTGCGCACAAGGGTGGTGGCGGTGGGGGGGTGAATGGCTCAGCCAGGGATAACTTGATCGTGTGCTAGCGTCACGGCGCAGCTCAGCCTAGAGGTGTCATGCGCACAGAATGCTTTCGCATCATGTCTGGGGGGCGGCGGGGGTCAGCCAGGGATAACTGCAGCGGATGCATGCACGTCACGCAGCGTTGTGTCAGAAGAGGTGTCAAGAGCATTCGGTTCAGCATCACGCCCCCGCCAGTCACAGCAGCCAGGGAAGGAAGAGGAAAAAGCAAAAGANGTCAAGAGCATTCGGTTCAGCATCACGCCCCCGCCAGTCACAGCAGCCAGGGAAGGAAGAGGAAAAAGCAAAAGACAGAGGGGATGGGGAGGAAGAGGGGGCCGTGGCACGCGGAAAGGGAAGGCAGCGCCGCGGCGAGAAACGCGCCGGGCGACGGCGGGGGTGATCCATACTTGCACTACACCCAAAGACGCCAGAAGAGAAGCAAGGCAACACGCTGCCAGCAAACGGAAACGCACAAACACAATTTCCCCGCATCACCGCCCTACGCAGGTGCGAATATTTCAGTGCTTACAAAAAAAAAAAATGTTTATTTTAGCCCAACAGTAGAGAATTGTTGCCTTCTCATAATGTTAGCCCCCACTCGGGCAATTAACCTAGCAATGAAAAACAAAACAGTTTCAGCGTGCAAGCCCGGAGCAGGCGGATTCCACGCCGAGGCCTTAATGCAGAAGCAGCAACGGCTTATAGCAGCGCACTCTCCACCTACCGGAGCCTGCTTTGTTCCCTGGTCGTTTCCACAGAAAAGATATACCAAGAAGAAAACGGGGGCTTCCTCCACTTTCCAAAGAGTGAGGCGCGGCAAACTTATCGCCCTGGTCAGCAAGCAAAGAAAGAAATGAAAAGATCGCATGGGCGGGGTGTGTAACCCCCCCCCCGCATCGCAAACAAGTGAAGGATGATGTATATTAACTTATCTTTCCACGCGGACTGCCGCGTATGGGAGCCGGTGCGTCTCCATGGACGCATCGTTCGGAATTATAGGCTGGCTCAAATCCCCATTCACAGAGGTCCACCCACTGCCACAGCCACTGCGAGAACCGCAAGGGCACCGAGACGAGCAGCAGCAGAAGCCACGCTTCCATCGTCGTCTTGGTTCGTTTCAGCCTCGTTGTCGCCGGCATCCTGCTGCTCAGCACCGTTTGCACGCGAAGGTGGTGCAGGAGCCGCTGAAGAGGCATGACCGCCAGGACCCGATCCCGTCTCATCACGGACAATGCCATTTCCGCTCTCCGGCCGGTGGCTCTCAGCTTTGGCCGGAGCCGGTGCAAGAGACGGCGAGGAATTCAGCCCAGAAAGGACGGTACCTTCCACTTCCCCATGGGGGTCGGCACGGTCGCCGCCGCCGCCGCCCAATAATGGCGTGGGAGGCTGCAAGGCAGGCGGGGGAAAAGCGTCGTTGCCGTTGGTTTCCCGCTGGACAGTGTCGCTGGCAGGCGGGATCGGCGCGGAAGCCACTGGAGAGGGAAGGGTGCCACCACTCGATTCCGTCTCTTCATGGGCACCACCAGTGCTGATGCTTGGTCTCGCATCTTCGCTGATGAAATTTCCTGGCCCGGGCGGTAGCGGTAGCGGTGGTGGTGGTGGTGGTGGTTGTTTCGAACCAGGAATGTCGTTGGCCCCCGCACCGCCCACTTGTTCGTCACTCCCGCTGGCCACTTCGCGAGGTGGTGGCTCAACATACCCGGGGACATCAAAGCTGTCGGGGACGACNGGAAGCCACTGGAGAGGGAAGGGTGCCACCACTCGATTCCGTCTCTTCATGGGCACCACCAGTGCTGATGCTTGGTCTCGCATCTTCGCTGATGACATTTCCTGGCCCGGGCGGTAGCGGTGGTGGTGGTGGTGGTGGTTGTTTCGCACCAGGAATGTCGTTGGCCCCCGCACCGCCCACTTGTTCGTCACTCCCGCTGGCCACTTCGCGAGGTGGTGGCTCAACATACCCGGGGACATCAAAGCTGTCGGGGACGACAGGGCACACCTCAGCGTATGCGGGGCAGATGATTTTCCCACTCGTAAAGTGCCCATTCGGCACAAGGCGATCGCCCGCGGGGCACAACCGCCAATCGTTGTCGCCGAGGACCTTCACGCGAACGGTGCCATCGCCGCACAAGATGTCCACGCACACATCGCCGATGGGAGAGGATGAATAGTGGAGCGATTCGCCCTTCACACAACGCGACCTCGGGCCAATGAGGCTCCCAGGCATTGCCGAAGAGTTGCCGTTGGTGCACCAAGTCCGCCCCAGCGGGGCAACATGGGGGCAGGATTCCATCAGATTATTCTTATCACCGGTCACTCTAGAGTCTTCGAAGTACCGGTGTTTTTCTTCCACAGGGACACTGAATGTTTGTATGTCACACGCCCCAAGGGCTTTACGGTCAAATGTGCATATCGGCTGATCTATTGGCGTAGCCACATTGCAGAACATCTCTGGGTACGCAGTTTTGCCACCCGTCAAGCACTTCTTCTCCAGCAGCTCACACCCGGAATTGTTGCCCCAACGCATTGGTTCTGCCATGCTCCAATTGGC